ACCGCTCTTAGTCTGTCTGACCCGTCCCCCAGGACCTGTTTGCCTTGGGAGACCCTACCGGGGGCATATAGCCTCTGACAACATAGCTCCTAGGATCACTCGAGTACTCAAACCCCTCCACCACAATAAGGTGGCGGTTCAAGGAGGGGATCAGCTGGCCTGTTGTGCTTACTGACGTACCATATATTGTTGGATTCAAGCAGGTCATTACAGTTCGAATTGTTTTTTTGTTTTTTTTTTTATCACGTGACAGCCCTAAGTCACTGTGCTATGATGAACATTCAAACCACTTGTTTGCAGGCGTCTTCTGCTGACATGTTGGTGTTGTTCTCTCTTGTGCTCAGCTACAACCTTTGGCTGCATGTTCCTTCTGTGTGACACAGGACTCAGTGAGCCATCAGACAGGAGAAGAAGAAACAAATGTGATGATGGCCACAGAGACTACCGCAGAAAAATGGGTAAAGTGTGCGTTCATCAGCCCTCACTCACACAAAAATATATTTTAACAGTGAAGCCTTCTCTTTACGTATGAACATCGACGTTAGACTTTATTTTGACACTCTCGTTTCAGCAAGCCTCATATACACACACACCTTCATTAAAGCAGATCTCTTCAAAATGACAACAGATTCCAGGAGGTGCAGCAACCTAGTACTCTGAATGAAATTTTACTCTAAAAGCAAGACATGAGTAGCGCATAAATGTTACTGAAGTGCCCAGTCTGTTTAATCCACACTGACTCCAACAACTCTGTTATAATGTTTTTAGTATATTACTTGTGTGGTGTAGAAGAGAATTATCTATGTAGAGATACTGCTTGCAAACCAATGATGGTAAGTACAGACAAAACGATTAATCAATAAACTGGATAAGTCTGACTTCTTCCTACTCCATTCAAGCATGTACTAGGTATAAGCAAATTGATATTGGATTAGCATTTGTTGGATATGTGTAAAATTATGTGTGTTGACATATCAACTGTCTTTACATGCTTGAAAGAATAAATCAAATCAAATCAAATCAATCATACATCCAATTACCATTTCTGTTGTCAGAACAGCTGTCTGTTGATGAGCAGGAGAGCGTCTGGGCAAATGGTGGGTGAATGAGAGGGTAGCAAACGAGACAAAGAATTCGCATGCAATTGTGTAGATGTATGTGCTAAATGGTATTACATCCAATTGCAGAATTAGATTGCCCTACACACCATAACTGGTCAACAAATCAGATAAGGAAGTACAAGTATGATAAATATATAAACAATGAACAACTGAAGTTTCCCAGAAGAAAAATGATCGGTCTGTGTGTGTGTCTGTATGTGTGTTTTAGAGAGTCAGGTAACTGTAAGCAGATAATGCATCAGCCCAGCTAAATGCTTACATTACTCAAAGGAGGAAGCATTTTGACGCCCACCCGCAGACTTCTTGTCTGCCTGTCAATCTCACACATTAGGAGAGAGGAAGACTCTTATTTGTTTGTGCCATAATACAGCAGCTCTGAAAGATGAAATATCATGGACTACAGTACTGCACTGCATACTTAAAACAGACACTCTGCAGCAATACACACAAGCACACATATGTATTCTCTCAGACGAAGACCACAGATCGAGTCACTGCAGTACATGAAAGGTCATTGTCTTGGAGTATATAATAGGACTGAAGATTACACTGAGATACCGGCCGTCGAGTCTAGACTGCCAGGCTGTAAGAGGTGATATAAATAGACATTACTATGTATTAAGACTTATACAAGCTTCTTTTAGCTAGAGATCCCGCTATAATGGTGTTAAGCCCCCCCCTTCCCAGTTTAAAGTGAGATCGCACAGTATTTTCC